GATGACACTCCCTGACGCACTCCTAACATTTGATTGTACTATTTTTGCATTCGACTAATATTCATTTTTTTTTTATTCACAATCTCCTCATCACAGGCAGTCACATGTGTTCATGTTTGTGTGTGCTGTCTGCGTCACTCAGAGCACGTGCCTATATTGTGCACTATATCGAAATTTTTTTATATCGTTATCGAAGAAGGTGTACCGTCGATAAATATTGATACCGTTTTATCGCCCAGGCCTAACGGAAACGATAACGGTGCCGTTTTCAAAAATATGCGTTTTCAGTCCCCAAAACGCCGTTGTAGTGTAAACGAACAGTCAAAACGCGTAAAAAGTTGTCGTGTAAACGGCCCCTTAAATTAAGGGGCGGTTGTCACCTTAGGATGTTGTTTCTCATTTGGCTTTGATCCTAACCTGCCATTTTTTTTCACCTCGTAGATCATTGAGAAAAGGCCAGGACACAGCAGGAGTCGTGTTTTCAGAGAGGTGGAAATGCTGTACCAGTGTCAGGGGCACAGGTAACCTATTCTTTATTCTTTTCACAGGCAATGAAAAATGTGTATGTTGTGCATTCTAATGCGGCAATGTGGTTTTAACTCAAAATGTTGTCTTTTGTCCACCCAACAGAAATATTCTGGAGCTGGTGGAGTTCTTTGAGGAGGAGGACAAGTTTTACCTTGTGTTTGAGAAGCTGAGAGGAGGTACGTGTGTTTTCTGTAGTGTTATGTTACTCTTGAGAAACACTACCCAGTCTCTCCTGTGCCCAAAGACCAGCCATGAGTAATTAAATTGACACCCCGGCCATTGGAATGTGAAGATCGCGTGCCCCGGTTTTAATGTGTAACAATGTGTTGTTGTTTTTTTTAAGGCTCTGTCTTGGCCCACATTCACAAGAGGAGATACTTCAGCGAGCAGGAAGCCAGCATTGTGGTGCAGGACATTGCGAGTGCACTGGACTTCCTTCACAATAAAGGTATGAGAACACCGACTGGGAGGAGTGCTTTAGGCCTGGAAAAGGGAGATAAGAAGATGGTGTTACACATGGGGGATGGCTTTCTCTGGAGACAGTTGGGGAAGGGGAGGTTATGGGGGTTGTTGGAAATTGTATCAAGTTGATCATATTTCATCGACTAGCTTGAGGGATGCGCACTGGATTTCTAGGTGAAGTTGTGGGCTGACGTTTTATTCCTGTCGGTACTGTTGGGTGAAGGGATGCTAAGCCAATTTTAGTAGCACTTAGCAACAAGCTGTTTTGGAAACATTCGCCTATCTTTGCCCCAGTCGACAATCCTCACTTAGCCTGAATACCACACTACTAACGCATGACTTGTGTTTGCGCTTTTGTAGGAATGGCCCACAGAGACCTGAAGCCTGAAAACATCTTGTGTGAACACGAGAAAAGGGTGAGTCTTTTACGACAGCATGTTTGCCTAGTTAGAAGCTCAGACTATACTTTGCATTTGTGGTAAAAGTTTAATCAGATGATTTGAGGTTTCCAAGCAGACTATAAACGCTCGATCATGCTCAGCAGTTGTGGATGGAGTCATTTCTGAGCAAAGGTTTTTCATCTGATTTCCTGTTGATGTGTTTCTTGCAGATTTCGCCTGTGAAGATATGCGATTTTGATCTTGGCAGTGGAATTAAACTCAACAGTGACAGTTCACCCATCTCCACTCCAGAGCTCCTCACTCCAGTAAGTGTCTTTGTGACCCTAAACAAAGTATTGCATTTGACTGAGAAACGAACATAAGCTGTTAACGGCCGTCTCCCTGTTGTTTTGAAGTCTATGGATAAGATATACACATTGTCAATGTCGTTTCTTATCAGGAGGACCTGCTTTAATGCGATTTGACGATGTTGTGTGGTATCAGTAGGGTAGCTCATTCTGATTGGCTGATTTAATCATTCTAAAGACAGTGATGAAGGAATGGTTTTATGACCCCAATTTTTGAGATAGTGGAGCAGCAGTATTGAGTCCATTCTTAATTTATCTACATCGACTTAACAAACTTGTTGCTAACTTGTGGCATACAATCTTACAACATTAAAACCAATTTTTGTTTCTTTCAAAATATTTGAAATGGCCTTCATTATTCTAAGCTCTTGAGTTTAGTGTGTGTGTGTGTAAACAAAAATCTGTCTTCAGCTTCATGGCTTTGAATAAATGGGGCAAGACAGGCTAGAACAGGTGATATGGCAGGGTGGACAGTGAGAAATCCTCAGCATGGGGCTTTCAGGGTAACCCGAGTTGGATCCAACAGCTTGTTGTAAAGACTATTTGTGGACTGAATGGTTAAAGGGTGAAAGGTTCTAGTGTATCTAGTAGGGATGGGTACTGAAACCCGGTATTTAATCGGTCCCGGGGCTAAATTATGAAAGACTGGAGTATCGATAAGCTCTGACGTTAACGGTTCTGCTATCGGTACTGGAGAAATTAATAAAACACACATTTATTATTGCTATATATACATTATCTTGCAAATTCTATCTCACCAGAGTCGCCAGCTGTTTTTCAAACATTTGTCTATGATGCATTATTGCTATTAGCAATTCAGAAGAGATCGCGCTCAAGCGGAGGAGCTTCAGCACGCGCAACATGAAAGCCCTGTTTAATTATGATAGAAGAGAGAACTAAACATTCAAACATCTGCTTACACTTTAGGCCTGTGGCGGTTTTATTAAGCTAATTTATTTTTTTTATTTCGATTTTGGCTTCTAAGGATTATACAAAAGAAGACATGAGGTAAAGCTATTAAAAACTAGCTGCGTTTCGTCTTGCGCAACTTCTTTCCCTTCACAGCGGTGCGCATTCGTTCCTCCCTAAAACCCAAACTTAACGTCAGAATCAGCTCAGTCGGTGATTGTTCTAAAATGCCGTCTTTACTGTTGCTAAATTGCGGGACATGTTTGATAATAAAACGTTATTTAAATAAAACTCATTTCATTAAATATTTATTTTACATTTCAGAATATAAATCAATGTTAATTCAGCTCTTAATTTGTCATATATATATATATATATATATATAAAACAAAAAGTACCGATAAGAATACCGTTAAAGTACCGAATCGATAAGCAGTATCGGTAAGAGTAGTAATACCGTTAAAACCTTAACGATACCCATCCCTAGTATCTAGTCAGTAAACAATGTGGGGTTTGTCTTCATGCCCTGTGCTTGCTGATGGGCAAATAGTCTCGCGTGATTCTGCCATAGGGGAGAGGGTTTGATTTAATGCATTGCATGTATTTAAAGGTATATAAAATTTTGTCATTTACTCAAACCTGTAGGACATTCTTCTGCAAAACACAAAATCTGTCCATGTTCATTGTGTCCATATAATGTAAGTCAGTGAGATCCAGTGTTGTTCTTAAAAGTTAAAACTGTTAAATCATTCTTCAAAATATCATATTTTGTGTAAATGAAAAGCAGTCATACAGGTTTTGAACGACATTCATTTTTAAGTTTTGGGGGGGGTTTAACCATCCCTTGAACAATTCAGTACTAGTTGCACACTTAGAAAGACCTTGAAGCTTCTAGATACAGATTTGTTAGAATGTTTTGTTCTTGGCTACTTTCTTTTTTTTTGGTGTTTTTTTTTTTTTTTCAAGTAGCATGCACTCATTCAGAGTTCCAGAAATGCATCTCCCTTTGTCAGGAATGTTGATCAGAAAGTTCTTTGTGCTTTTTAAACTTTGAGCCAGTGTTTATATAGTTCCAATTTCTCAATTCCTTGTGTACTTGTGGAAAGCATGAGGAGGACAAGAATTCAACCCAAACAAACATTTCGGGCCTTTGTGCTCCAATTTCCTGTCATACCTTCTCCCTTAAGCACAGTTTAGACTCCATTTCTCATTTGTTTTTGTCTCTGTGGATTTCCTCAAGCCTGTCTGGGCATTAGTCTTTCAGTCAGTGTTACCACCCCACACCTAGCAACTGTTCTGTGATTGGTTTGGTGAGAGGGAGGATGAAAGAGGGAGGAGCATCTAGTGCACTCTGGTCATGCACTCAACATGTTTTTCTTGGGCAGGATCCCAAGGATCTTATCAGGGTTTTTTTCACCGCTAGCTTGATGTTAACTCTTTGTTTGTCACTAGATTTCTTCGCTGCTTACTAAGAGTTTCCCTTTTTTAATTCCTTTCGCTTTACTCTTACCGCAGGCTTTTGTGGGTGCATGTAGTGTGCTCGTACCATAAATGCTTCAAGAAAATCATGATTTCTGAGAAGTGCATGTACTTTACTTCCTGAACCATGTACAAAATTGCTTTCTCTTGACAGTTTTGCACTGCATGTACTTCTATACTGTGTGTTAACCTATAACCACAGGGGAAATTCATACATGTATAGGTGACTCGCTCACTCAGCTGATGCATGCCTTACTGCCAACCACAAAAACACAAGACAACACACCGACTGCGCGACTGCTCAAGCCAGTTTGTCCTTCCTTGGAAAGCCCCATATATAATCTGCGTGTGTTAGATGCTAGTGTCTGCAAGTGACTGATGCAATGCTATGCTAGTCTTACAGCTGAAGTTTGTCTCGAAAGTAAAAATCTGCTGCGCAGTTATCATTTAAGACCCCCTTCCCTCTTATCTCAAAGACAGAGATAGGCTCACAAGCGAGCCAGAGGGAATATACTTAGATTTTATAAAACGCATGGAAACTGCTGCAAAACATAAGCCCTAATTACAGGTCGCTCCGTTTCCCTGGTTTCTGGAAATTGGATACAGTTGGGTACACAACTGACTAGTTACATGCTGTAGCAATGTATATGTAGCTCTGGATTGGTTGTTCTTTCTGAAAGTCTTTTGTTCAGGAGTGGGGGTGGTTGTGAAGTGTTCTCTTGAATGTGAGGGTGTTGAGAGGCAGTGAGCAAAAATAGCCGTGTCGATGGGGGTTGGGTGCAACAGTGGAAGCTTTTGTCTGCACTCGGATTCCTGCACTGCGAAATAGCATTACATAAGTGCATGGAGGCGGAGCAACAACGGCAGCTGGGTTGAGGATAAGAAAAGAGACTAGCAGAGCAGACCTACCGCTTCCTTTAACTTCAGAGACACAAACCAAAACATGACCATGATGCACTTTAACACCTGTGAAAACTACAGAGGGGGGTTGGTCATACCAGTCATTGGATTTGCAGCATTATTGTTTTATGCCCACTTTTGAACTTCAACCTCGTATGATAACATATTTATGAGTGTAAATTATTGTAAGTTGTTATATGGGCAAATCATGTAGGGTTCAGATATTGGCCTTGATGCGTTAGAACTGAAGTGTACGAATTCAGGGAAGGTCTGGGATTTGTGATCTCTTGGAAAAAACGCTAAAGCAAGTTATTTTGTAACACTGACCTCAGTCTGGATTGCATAATTATAGGGGCTTAATGCAGCAAGATGGCCCAGCCCATTGAGAAAAGCTAAAAGAAACCCAGATCCTTCCAGAAGGGTCTTTGTCCTGCTGAACTACTGAACTGTTACTTCAGAGAGGTTCTATCCTTTTACGTCAAAGATGTGTGGGTCTGTGAGCTGATGTTGCTGCAAACTCAGTGTGTGTTGCTGTTATGTAATAAAGCATGGTATGTGGGGTTTTTTTGGACGCCCAATCCTTTTTTTTCCTGTCCCAATGCATGACCTAGTTTTAGGCAGAGGCGGTCGGAGCCCGAACCGACAAAGCAGTCTGTGCTTGCATGACTCACTACCCCGCCTCCATCTGTGACATAACAATCGTTATGTGGTTACTTCATTTAAGGGGCTGTATGCCACCATCGCATTTTCCATCTGGACTGCAGCACAAATGCTCTTCATGAGCAAGAACCGGGGGTGAATACTTTAGCATTCAACTAGTTAATCTGTCGTCAACCTCCCGCTCCAGCTTGGCGCAGTCTGCTGTTTACCATGGGATTCTCACTCTGTCGGTCTCAGACGTGCTTAGGGGTCCCACAGAACACATGACATTTGTCAGCTGAATGCAAGAACGTGAACAAGGACGTCTAAAGTGAGGGGGGAAAAACTGTAGAAATTGAAATGCAGCATAACCAACAGATGCACTTTTTATTGTTTTTTTTGCACAGCCAGTGTGACTGCCAGTTCAGTGACTGAAACAACCCAGGTGCCAGTTGATTACTTTCTTCTCACCCCGTCTTCCTCGTTTTCTTACTCTCTCACCTTAGTGTGGATCTGCTGAATACATGGCGCCGGAAGTTGTGGAAGCTTTCAACGAGGAGGCCACCATCTACGATAAGCGCTGTGATCTGTGGAGCCTGGGCGTCATCCTTTACATCATGCTGAGCGGTTACCCTCCCTTCGTGGGCCGCTGTAGACGCATCTGTGGATGGGAGAACGGAGAACCTTGTCAAGCGTGTCAGGTACATCACACACCCTGTTGCACTGTTGTAAACCTATGTCAAAAGTATCATATTCATGTGCTGTTCAATGAATAAAACTCATCTCTTGTTTCTTTGATTTTCCCCCCCTAGAACACCTTGTTTGAAAGCATCCAGGAGGGCAAGTATGAGTTTCCAGAGAAAGAGTGGGCTCATATTTCCTCCAGTGCCAAAGACCTCATTTCCAAACTGCTTGTGCGGGACGCCAAGAAACGTCTCAGCGCTGCTCAGGTTCTCCAGCACCCCTGGGTACAAGGGGTAAGGAACTGATTCTTTCAACTAAACTTCTAAGTGTAATTTTAGTAACTTTAAACCGCATCTTCATGATTTTTTTTTTTTAACTGTCGTCTTTCTTTCTCCAGGGTGCCTTTGACTGTCTGCCTTCCTCTATCTTGCTGCAAAGGTAAGCTGAGTTTGTGCCAGCATTTCTGCTAGTACATGCAGCTTGTAGCTTCCTCATCAAGCTAACCTTGTCCTTTCCTTCGACGCTCACAGGAATAGCAGCACTAGGGACCTGACGTTCTTTGCGGGCAAGGCTGTTGCCATGAACCGGCAACTAGCCGAGCAAGACGACCTAGAAGAACAGGAGCTGCAGGACTCCCCTCAGGTCGTTACAGCCGGTGCCACATCCATGCGCCTCTCCCCTCCCTCCAACTCCAAACTGGCCAAGCGCAGACAGAGGAGTAGCCTGCTGAAAGGAGCACCCGTGTCTGCTTCCGAGCTCAGGCAGCTCCTGGCACCGCTGGTCATTGTGGGAGACTGTGCTTGATCGGTTGAGCTGGGCTCCCTGTGAACAATTTTCCAATTTCAAATGGACAAAGTATCTGATACCTTTTGTGCAAATCCCTCTCCATTTCTTCTGCCCACTTGAATGAGACCCAGTTCTTTCCTACACAATGGTTCAGTTTGTGCCTGTTGCAAATCCAGTTTGCTTCTTTAAGCACTGGAGCAAAAGCTCCTACAGCACTTTGTTCAGCTCTCGACAGCATGGGAATTACCTTGAGAGCTCAAGGCGAATGAACTGGACTCTGTTTAGGACAGAGATTGGGTTTACACAAGCCATTCGGAAATTTGTCTAAAGGTAGAGCGTAAAATACCAGCTCAGACACCAAAGGTCTAATACCTCCCACCCCCCTTCCGAACCTCTTTTTGTGCTGCTTCCACGTTACAACTGGATCCACTGTGAATTTTCTCTGTGAGAGATACAACTGCGTTTGTTTTTCAGGAACGTTCTTCCTGTGTGTGTGTGTGTGTGTGTGTGTGTG